TACATAATGAGAGTTGAGTACCGCAACCTATCTGTGTCAACAATAAAGCAAAATGACGTGATTAGGGCTCTTAAACAAAAATCCTATCACATAGTCTTGGCCCAGTTGTTCGAAGCCCCGAATAATGCTATCCAACGGATAAATCGCTATCCAGCAGATAAGCGTCAACGAAGCGCACTATGCTACGCATCAGATAGAGATTTATCCAATGGGTATCGTTATCCACCCTTCGATCAACCGAGGTCAGCACGCTTGACGTGAGGGCACCATTTTTTCCTGTGAATACTTGAATGAAGGAATCTTTCCTTACTTTGTTTCAGAATTGAGTGCCGGTCAAGTGGATGTGCTGTGGGATTGTCTGGTGTGTGATTCAGAGAGTTCCGATGATACACTGGAGTGGTTTTTGCAACAAGCACAAAGTAAAGAATTTCATGCTCTGGATGTTTCTGCTTTGCAGTACATTCTGGCTGAGAAGGTAACGCCTCTGATATAATTACTATGTAAAGAAAAAAGTCTGTTGTATCAAGGATCTGCAGCACTAATGAATTTGCAATGCTAATCTTTCCCAGCTGCCATCTCTGCCAGCTGAGAAATTCTCCATGACAGGCCTACACCTTCTGCAGCAACTCTACAAGATGTTCAAACACGCGGACGTGAAACCTTGTGATCCTTCAAAGGTAGTACGGTGTTACGCGTAAGGTCATTTAACCCTTTAACTCCCGTGAGTGACCAAGACAGAATTTCTCCTTAATATATCTATACAATATCATGCAGACAAGTGATGAGAATAAAGAAAAATGTCAATTATGGAATTACTAATTGATCTGATACTAAATTCTCAAACTAACATAATGAGAATTGTTTGGCGGACAGTGAGGAGAATTACTAATGAGATCTTGGGAGTTGAAGGGTTAAGCATGAAACACCATTAGACTGTTACTATCATTTCTGGCAGTTTTAGTAATTTGCTCTCTTTCCACTAAAAGCTGAAACGAAGTGTTAAGTTTCTGAGGCGAGAGATAACGAAGAAGCTCACGTATTCAGTAATAATAATAATAATTCGCGAGGTTATGGTAAAAAACATCCCGCTGGGTCCGAGCGAAGTTCAGCCGCATGACTCATGAATACGGCAAAATGTAAGAAGCTTCAAGTCTTGTGGAAAAAAAAAAAAATGAATCGCACGAATATTCCTTTGGTTCCTCGACTCGTGCCTCGATTCTCGAACACTTCGAGAATCGAGGAACTTACTTTGGAGCAGCACTATACATACGGCGGCATGTCAATGAATATTCTTATCCATGGCAAAAGTTTCCAATTTTTATTTCAATGATATCAAAAGTAGAATTACCTGAAGTGTTCATTATTTCATGGAAGAACATTTATGTCCCTTTCAGTTGTGCGGTATAGACCAGCTATGGAATATAGCTGTGCAAGTAAGATCCTCAGAGGTTAGCTGGGCGGCTATTACATACCTGAACTCTCTGTACATAAATGGTAAGCATACATTCATTTTTCTCTAATATTTGTAAATATATATTTTAGCTAGGACTGTGGTATTGAAGTGATTTACAGCAACCTTAAAGACTGTTTTTAATGGTATCTATTATAATACTCACTACTTCAGCAAATGGAGGTGCTTTGAAGTTTGAAGATGAGTTCATTCAGAGGTGTATGAATATCATTGGGGGAGCTTCGAAACAGTTGAATCAGGTAGAGTAGCTTTTGTCCCATTTATTCATATATTTATATATTTACATGTTCAAAAGTTTCAGTTGTGATGGATTTGCTCAACTTTTTATTACAGGAACAGAACCTTCAGATAATGGAGAGGGGTTTGCTTTTATTAAAGAGTCACATCGAAAGTTTTAAACGAAGGTTTGTTTAGCAGAGTGGTAGAAGCTGCTTCTGTAGCTTTAACGTTTCTAACTGAAAACTCTTCTTAATAACATTCTTTGAGTTATTATTATTTTTTTAAATGTTCATCTGACCGTCAAATATTTTTTAGGTCTAGTTTAATATTCTTTTCTCTACGATGCATTTAAAAAGACAATAGAACTCACAGTAAAAACCAACCGAACCGCCTAAAGCGCGGGAAAGCGCGGGCGACCAAGCCGTGATTGGTTTCATTTTTGCATCTGATTGGTTGCGAGAGCTGCGCGAGTCTTTTGGACTAATCATAGAGCGAAATAAAGGAAAATCAGAGCAATCCCAGATTACTTTTTGACACTCAATTGAAAATTGCCCTAAAAGAAAGGTGCTTGGTGTTTTTTTTTTCGTTATCAGCGCGAGGCACAGGGAGAAAGATCTGAGGCCCTAACCCCAGCCACTTTCGATTTATTGGTTGGATAACTGTTTTGAAAGTTTTTTTTTCTTTTTCTTGCAGGTTTGCATTTCATTTACGTTTGTGGTGGCTGGAAGGAAGAGGCATCACTTGCCATCAACAGATCACTCAGAGGCCCACAGAGAAACATTACCCCATCCGAGTTCTTTGTCAACCTGCAGGCCTCTCAGACAAGGTAATGCAAGGTTTACACACTGTGTAAGCTTTAAAGTATGAAAAGACAATAAAGGAGGCTCCATATAACACATTTTTCGACGAAGCACCAAAAACTCGAACCTTAGTAACTCCGTTTTTGACGAAACACCAAAAACTCGAACTCTAGTCTGAACTTATATGAAATAAATGCTCATACAAGGCTAACGTTGATTCTATTTTCCGTTAAAACTGATGTGTCAGAGTTTAATTATCATTACAACATTACTGACTACTAGATCAGGTAAGAAGGGCCTCTCTTTAGTGCATGCCAAAATAATTCCACCAGCCGGCTTTGATACCTCGTAAGTTATTGGCAACTTGTTATCGCGAAAAGGAAAATTTTTTTGCCAGTTTTTACTACGGTGGAAGTGTAAAGCACTGTAACCGTTGGTCAGTTGTTCGTAACAATACGGTTGCGAAACGCAGTATCGGTCAATGTCACTTATTACTTACCTCTCATTCAATTATTTTTCGTGATAACATTAGGGTACCTTCGAGATGAACTCATCAGACCTTGTTGCGGACCTTCGAGCAGAGGTGACATTTTGGTGCCGACAGCTCCAGGACAAGTTAAAGAAAGACACTCAGCTTGTCGACGGCTCTTCTCAACACACGCCCCTATCTCCCTTCTCCTCTCAGTTACATCCCCCCTTCAGACTCATATCCCAGGGGCATGAACTGACGCCCGACTTGGATGAAAAGAGCCTTGCAGAAGTTGGCTTTAAAGATTTGCAGGTGCAGTGGAAAGTCTTGTGATTCGACTGTATTTTTTTTTCTTTCTTTCTTTTTAGTGTCAAAGTTAAGATGGTCGGAAGTGGCTAGGACTATTATTACAACCCCTCTCCTCCTCCTCACGCGACACGACACCCCCTCCCCCCACACTCACACATACATACACTCACAAATGCACCTGTAGCGATTTGTGCGATACTCTTTTATTTTTCTTTTTGCTGAATGTCTTCAAACGCATCAGTGTTTAACTGAGTACTATTTCATCCGTTTTGCAGCTTGTCTTTGTATCTGTTGGAGCTGTTAGAAGAGACAGACATCATGACAGTGGTTACATTCCTTCGTCTTCTTTACCATCGCCGGAATGGAATTCCACACCCATGATAATTCTACTTCATGAAAAATACTTTGATCAACTTTTTTTATTCTTAGAAGCCTTAGACGGCTTTATTGGCTCCAAGAGCAGCTCTTCTGAAAGTCCTTTAAGCGATTCTTCACAATTGTCCCCAGTATCCAAGAAAATAGTGGAAGCCAACAAGGCCCACGATGAGTGTGAGGAAATAGACAGTGGGTCTGAAAACCAAGGGAAACCTCCACTGCTACCGCTGATGGAAAGCCGTGTTGAATTTTTATGCGGTATAACTTGGGAGCTCTTGTTTCTTTTACCAACTAATCAATCCATTCTTAATAAGCTCAAGTATTTTGGTCGAGTTTTACACCAAGATCCCAAGCGAAGAGACACCAAGAGTGACGAAGAACAAAGAGCAGAAAAAGCTCAACCGGAGAAGAAACTTTGGGATTCGTTATTGGATCCAAACTTCCCCCATAAACTTCTTTATTCTCTTCAAGTGATAGACTTAATACATAATTCTTCAAAGGAATCACAAACGCAGTTTTCTCCCACTTATTCACGTCTGAGCAGTGATTCAGACATCTCTGACAACGAGGAGGAAAAGGAAACGGCAACCTCACAAGTGCAGATAGCTTCGTGGGGACTGCAGTTTATTGAGTATGGAGGACTTGGTCACTTGTACTCAATTCTTATGTCTGGTTGCTTGGAGGTCAGTGGGAACTGCTTATGGACGCAATGGAGGCAAGAATGTCTTGCACATTTGTTGAAACTGATTTGTGAGTTTGGGACAATGAAGCGAAGTAATGAGGATGACGATGAGGTGTTTGCGACGACAGAAAGTATCGCTAGTAAGTCACAGATTCAGAAAAGAGACGGACAGTTCCGTGTACGATACAAGAGTACTGACAAAGAAGAGGTGATCTGCATCAAGTGTTTGTCCTCTAATCTTATGTCTATTGTTGATGTTAACTCATTACTGGAGAAATTACTACACATTTCTCATCAGGCAACTTTACCAATCCACGGGGGCCAAAACAGAGCCAGTGGAGGGGACGGTAAGTTTCATTGTGGGCAGGTTGGGTTCCATTTACCACTTGCAATTTTTCCCTTTTTGCAATTGACAATTTCCCCATACTTACGGCTCAATGCCAGATAATGTCATTTGTAATGCCAGGTTCGCGGCGATTTTCGAAGAGTTAGAGGTCACTTATCAACATCTTGCCGCGTTGAACTTGAAATCAGCTGTGATTAACTATTATTTATTGACGATAATCGAACGTAAAACATCGGTTCGCGCTTGCTTGCACTCTTAATAGCCAAGGGTAACTTACTAAAAACACGTGTGCAAGCTCTGTAAAGCTGAAACTAGCACCTCTGAAAGATGGCCGCTTATAGCATCTATATACGCCCACTTGTTAAAGCTTATGACGTAATGGCTAAGTAAAAATTGACGAATTGGCGAAGAGGATTGAGGATAACCATTAGAATGAAGAAGCTTCGATTTAACGTTTATTGCATCATCATTACATATATGGATCGTGTGGTGTGATCATCCGGGGTGAGGCAGTCCTGAATGTGACTGTCAGTCAGGGGGTATTCAGGATTTTTTCGATGCATGGAGGGTGGGGGGTTTCAAATTTTTATTCAGAAAAACAATCTTTCTTTGAAAGAAACCTCGTCTTAGACATGTAATAAAACTACCCACAAGTGTAAAAGGTGGAGGGGGACCCTCGATTCCTTCCCCTGGATCCACCGCTGACTATTATTGGTGACATTGTCTGTCATCTCAATAAACTGACCAGAAGCTGTCAACGACAGGAGTCCGTTAGGGGGCTTGCTTACCGGGACGATCACACCAGATGATTGAATACGGAGATTGAAAAACAAGACTAGGTAGTAGCGCAAAGTTTGCCGGCAGTGATGGAAGTTTGCACAGAAGAGTGAAACGTATTTTTTCTTCCGAATATCAACTTACCAATGAGTATGTTTATCGGAAGTTGACATAATCATTGTCATTTTGAACATGTTAGCCTATCGATCTTAGTCAACAAGATGGTTTTAATTTCTTATATTTGTTGTCTTTCTCGTCCAGTGGTTCGTCACGCTGTATCATTGCTTGTGTCTGCGGCCTTCACTGATGGTACTGTCAGGAGCTCCCTTCTTCAGCAAAGTAACTTCAAACCTTGGCTTCAGCAGCTGGTGCTTTTAGCTAAAGAGGTAAAGTTCAGGTTTCGCCTTGTGTTGTCAGAGGAAAATATTGATTCGAAAAAAGAAACGGTGTATGATGTGTATTCTTTTTTTTTGGAATTTCATGTCTTTTTCCTTTTTTGAGTGTCCCAGAAACACTTAAACGAATTGCCCGATCTGAACCGGGTAATAATTATATTTAGAGCTTCCCTCATTCAGCTTGCCTTTTTTTACCCCTGCTGCGATTCACCCAAGCTCATATAATGTTTCAAAGGGCCACGTGAAGGTTAGGGTATGGAGTGTTGAAAGTATCACGGTCATCCCCAGTAGGCCAGTGATGCACTTCAGCGAATCAGTGAGATTTCATTATTTAACACAAATTAATTAGGTCATTATTTTTTCTTTATTTTTTATCATTTTGCAATTCTCAGCCCAGTGTACGATTTGAAGCGTGCCGTGGACTTTACAGACTAAGCCTAATCAAAGAGAACTCCTGCCTTACGCAGCTGATGGATGCATTGCTTGACTCACTGCCGCTGGCGCAATCTCTTCAATCGAGAGAAAATCCCCACGGACGGCGACAAGAGCCCAGTGCCCGAGAATACTTTTCTATTTTGTGTCGACTCGTGGATGGCCTCCCCACTGTGGAAGACGGTCAAAAGGTAAGCATGTATTTATTTTCACGTCTAGACACTCCGGGAAACAAAGGTACCTGTATGTAAGTTTTGCCATTAACATGCTACGAAAAAGGTAAATAAGGAAAAAGAGAAATGTATGATATAGTTAAAGAAAAGTTTGTTTGTCGCACGTTGGCCTCGCGCCTCTTCGCATACTATAGGAGAGGCAAAGGTATGCAAGTGTTACCTCCAATGTGCCTCGATAAAGGTGAAAAAAAGAAAAATAGAAATGTAATGATACAATTGAATAAAAGTTTGGTTATCGTACGTTCGCCTCGCGCCTCTTTGCATACCAGAGGAGAGGTAAAACTTGTGTCAAAATTTTAAAGGGGACAATGTACTCAAGGTAACGATGTCTTGATGTGTCGTTACTTCAATTCTAATATGATAGAGGAAATGCACTTAGTTTTCCACACTGTCAATTTTCATCAGGGCGACGAGGTTGACTTGGACTCCTTGGCTAAACTGCTGGCCAAATACATACGAGACTGGTAAGTACGTAAAACGTCGTAATCTTATATGATTGGGTTCCCGAAGCCTTCAAACCCTGACGTTCTGTAAGAAAAAAAACTTGGCATCTTACTCGAGAAAAGTGTAGCATATAGAGACAGAATGGTTCGAGAGACAGTTCATTGTGTCACCTTTGTAAACAGCGCACTGTCGTGTCAAACATTATACAAGACCTACGGTCCAATGAGACAGCTGTCTAAGACGTTTGGTGGTAAAATTGTCGACCCTGTTTGGGACTTATCCCTTTACTCCTTAGTATTAGTCTGCATATTTTCCATACTTTTCTCCATACCTTTCCTGTGGTACCAAGAAGGAGAACTTGTTGAACAATCAAGAGCTTCTACTGTTGGGATCATTTTCCTTCTTCTCATGACCTTAATGAATGATGTAGAGTTAGTACTGTAAGGAGAAATCACTGTTTAGTCACTCAGTGGTGAATGAGTTAAGACTCAAATACTGTATTTAAGTCCTATAAAAGTATTTCCTCCCTTTCCCCTTCCCTCGCACAATATAATCAGACTCATTTTATGCTCTGGTTTTTCTCTGCCTTCTCTTCATAGTCAACCGCGCACCAAGCAGAAGTATGGCAGCCATGAAAATGAAGGCCTTAGTGGAATGTTGAAACTGTGCACTGCTGTTATGAGACATGACCCCTCGTTCAAGATGTCGACTGATGGTTTGGTAAGTGATTTTTAGATGATTCATTACTTTTGATTTGTTTGTTTAATTTATTTCTATATGATTTCTTTATTTGTTCATTTAGTATTTATTTATTTGTCTTTTCTCTATCACGATTGCTCATAACAGCGGTTCCAAATGGCCAAATTTTGCCGCACGAGAAGAAATGAATTTCTACGACATTTTGTTATCAAAATGAAGTTGTGTGCTTGTTTATGTGGTCTTTCCTGGTTTTTTTATTCTTTCATTTGATTGTTAGTTTGTTTGTTTTTGCATTTCTTGAGTTTGAAGCTAGGTTTTTTTAATTGGAGATGATATTATCGTCAACTTTCGAAGTCGCCTGACCGTTTGAATTACTTATGCTTTTGGTTTTCAGGAGTTTCTGCGAGACGTGTTCCACTCTTGTCTGTTTTCTCTACCAGAAGATTGTTGCGATGAGAGGGACTTGCCACTCTGCAAATCTAAGGTAAAGATGCAATGCAGCACTTTACAACAGTACTGACGTTTGCGACGATTAAAGTGAAGCTGTGTGTCAAGGTGGTTTCTTTCGCACAAAATTGCCCTCGTAGTCATTGGACGCTAAATGTGCGTTAAATTATGTGCTGATCATAGTGCCTGGGCGAATCAAATTACATTCTAGGATCATTTTACGAGTAAATCGTTACTGGTTTATAAGCATCACGCTCACCAACATGTGTCTAAGAGAAGAAATTCCAGCCTTGTGTTAGACAGTTAGTTGGGAATTGGTTTTTGTCGGGAAATTGAATACGGGCAGACTACCTTTTGGTACAGTGGTGACTGTTCCTCTAGCAGAAAAGTATAGCCACAATTGGGAGACAAGTTTTGTTCCTACAACATTCCAGCAGGGTCCACGTCTTAACTAATTCTCTATTTGCATTAAAGCCGGCCAGGAGTGCAGCCTTTGATCTTCTTCTCGAGATGGCTCGAGGCTGCCAAGACAACTTCCTTGAAATCCAAAAACTGTTGATGAAACATCACAGCTCTGGTAAGAGCTCCTTTATCACTAGGCTAGAAAATAACCTTCTTCCTTTCTATCAGAGTCAAGTCCTAGCCGTAAGCAGAAAGTTTGTCGTATGAACCAAGCTTATTGCGACTTGAAGTCATCTGCAGATCAGTGGTTAAAAAAAAATTACAAATCTTAGGGTCAAGCAAATCCTGTGGAGAGCACTGTGAATTTTTCTTTTTTGTAAATGCAATAGGGAGACGATGAGGCTCTTTGATTAGCGCGCGAGACTGGTTTTAGAGGTCTGCGTTTGAGTCCTCGACAGGTCCTATTGTTTTGTTCTCGTTGGGGGAAAGACCCTCTCTCTGCTAGAAGCTGCCTTCGTCTAAGAGTATAAAGTATAGAGTCCCTTCATTCTACACAAACCTGACCAAGCTCCGGCTTAAAGGGAGTCTGGGCGCGAGTAAGATTACTCACCAGCTGGTAATTTGATCCATTTTTTTTCTGTTCATAGATGGTAGAAAACGTTCCTCTTATGGTTGGCATTACTGGCCCCATGACAATGGCCGTTCACTCTGTGGGCTGGTTGGAATGATCAATTTAGGAGCCACGTGTTACATGGCCTCCTGCATGCAGCAGCTGTACATGATGCCTCAGGCCAGGGCCGCTATTCTGAACTCGAGGGTGAGTTTTATTAATCCCTAACACCCTAACATTGGTGTGCATATTCTCTATACATTTCCCAATACAAAAACCAAACTGCCTACAGCGCAGGAAAACGCGGGCCACCAAGTCGTGATTGATTTTAAGTTTTGCATTTTGATTGCTTGAAAAAGTGGCGTGACTCTTCTGGATCAATCACAAGACGAAGTAAAGCAAAGCCGAAGCAATTCCGGATTATCTTCTACACCCAATTGAAAATTGCTCAATGTATCAAGATTTAGAATAGAGTTCTTATCTCGTAAGATTTCGTTTGTTGACAAGAGATCTGTTTGACCTGTGAACATGCTGTGAACAACTCAGTGAATTAAAGCATTTTAAGACTTAAAAGTCATCTTCATTGAAGCTCTAATACTTCTCATCATTTCACAGATCAACAGCGATGTTAAACATGAGGTGCTCATGCGTGAAATGCAAAGGATGTTTTGTTTCTTAATGGTGAGTGGAATTTGATTGAAATAATTTTACTGGGTGCCTGTCAGGAAAATGTGAAGAAGTAAAGTGATAATGGCGACGTGGGGGCCAATTGCTAACCTTTTTGAGCATGACTCCGGATCGAAATGTCGGCTTCTACCCCGGGATGGATCATTGTGTTGTGCTTTCAAGGCAAGCAACACTCGCGGTCTCCCTCCTCATAGAGCATGCGAACGGGTACAGGTGAACTTTGGTAGGACGCAACCCTAGCCTGTGATGGAGCACACAGCGATCAAACGTCTGCGTATATGCGAACGCTGTCATGACTAGTTAGCGCGCTTTCATGCAGTCAAAACAAAGTTGTCTTGAAAAAGTTACTAACAACTGCACCGGCCAATAAGTTAAGGTGTTTAACCCTTTAACTCCCACAAGTGACCCAGACAGAATTTCTCCCTATAATATTAATACAATATCAACCAGATAAGTGAAGAGAATAAAGAAGAATATCAATTTTGGGTTAATTAGTTGATTCAATACTAAATTCTCTGAGCTAACATCATAAGAATTGTATGGTTGATAGTAAGGAGAATTAAAAATTCTATCTGGGAGTTAAAGGGTTAAGAAGTGTCATTTTTGGTAAAGCTCAAACCAGAATGGTAAATCAACAAGAAACCCGCACTTGAATAAGCTTCGTGTTCGAGAAGTCTCCAGTTTTCCTTTTTCCAACTTTTGTTTTCTTTAATAGATTTCTATGAACATTTCAATGATCTCTCGCTTCCTTTGCGAGACAGCAGTTGTTTCTTGTGTTTTCCTTTGAAATTTTGCGCGAGAGGTTGGCGCGCGGGCGGCCAAAATTGATCCCCTTACGCATGCCCGACGTCTGATCTCTGTGTTATGATGGAATGGCGACCTGTAAAGCGTTACTGTGGAAAGATCGAATTATTGCAGAAAGTATACGTTGCAATGTACGGAGAGAGTTAATTTTTTGATAATATAACGCGTATTTGAGAAGACTTTTAAACAAATTCTCCTTGTCAGCTTCTTTGGAAATGTATAGAGAACAGTATGGAGAATATACATGCTGATGTTAGGGGATAAAGGGTTAAACTTTGCGTTAAATGCTGTCTAAATATCCAGTTTGCGTCCTTTTCACTACAGGCAAGCGAAAGAAAGGCGTACAACCCCAAAACCTTCTGCCGGACATACACTATGGACAAACAGCCTCTTAACACTGGAGAGCAGAAGGACATGACGGAATTCTTCACAGACCTGATCGGCAAAATAGAAGAAATGTCACCAACACTGGTAAGAAATTTAAAACATTTTGTGGCTCCTACTTATCGATACTTACAGGCAGACTCGCAATCCGGAGGTCATGGATTCGAGTTTGTATAGGGGTATTCCTAAGTTCAACTCCTCGACCCCGCTTTTAAATAACCAAATGCCTTTATATCTGCCATTTTGAGATTTACATCCCGTTACCTTTGGTATATAGTGTTTGTTTTCGTGGTTATTTGAGAGTTTTTGTTGTTGTGGTATTCTTACAGAAATAAAATAAATTGTCTTTCCGTTTGAGTAGAAGTTACCCGTTAGTGACACAACTTGTTGTATTATGGATGCTTATTATCATTTAGAATATGCCAGTCAAACCGGACGTTCCTGATTACTGTCCGAAGAGAATTTTCACAGAATATTGCAGAAACTATCCTGATAAACTTCTCGCTGTTTAATTGAATGCTTGGCCGTCTAATGTATTTATCATAATTTTACTGTTTTTGCAGAAACTCCTAGTGAGAGATTTGTTCTGTGGAGAGATCAGCAACAATGTTGTGTCACTGGTGAGAAAGCTTATTTACCTCAAATCAATTTTCCCGTCAGGCCTGGATAATAGAGTAGTGGTATGAGTGACCTTACCAACCGTGAGCTCCGTTGCTTTATATAATGATTTGAAGGACAGCATGCGCACTAAATCTTCTGCTATAGTTTTCATGTTGAAAGATCGAGGGAGGAGGGGTGGTCCTTGTTTTGCTGTGATTGTGATAACTTTGTGCACAAAAGTTTTTAAAACCGTGATATGAGTATAACACTTGTTCCGAATGGTATTCGTATTCGCGAGGCTAATACGACTGTACATATTTTCATGTGATACCCTAGTGTTTGCGGTGGATTTCTGCTGAAAGATTTGATGTTCTTCCATTTGCAGGACTGTTCACACGTCAGCAAGACCAGAGAGGAATTTTATTCTGTGCGATGCACCGTGGCAGACATGAAGAGCCTTTATGTAAGACTGTCTTTTGATGAATTAGTGATACTGTGGTGGTTAAACCATGTGTAGTTTGACTTGAGATATTTATCAATGAGATTTTGAGCTCAGATTTGAATCTGATTTGTAGACAAAGAGGTGCTAGTTTTTTGGCTCAACCTACTTTGACACTTAGTGGTATCTTGTTGTCTAGGAATCACTGGACGAAGTGACGATCAAAGACACACTGGACGGAGATAACATGTACACTTGCTCACAGTGTGGAAAGAAAGTCAGGGCAGAGAAAAGGTGAGTGAAATACAAGCGGAAAAGAAAATGAATTTTTACCAAGGGAATCCATAACTAAAGCCAAGCGATCTAAAGGAGGAATAAGTAAAAGAAGACACCAATTATTGAATGGTAAAAGTTCAAAACAACTGTTGTTTGCTGTGAATGATGTGTGGAAGAGTAGCTTGTTGGGTGCTTTTCGATTTAGTGTCGTAAAACCAAACTCAATGTTATCACAACATCATATCAGAACAAGGGGAAATATCACACGGAACCAATGAGAAGACATCGAAATCGAGTTAACTACGTAAAGCGCGGGAAAACAGGAGTAACCAAGTCGTAATGGTTTCAGTTTTGCATCTGATTGGTTGAGAGAGTGACGCGAGTTGTCAGGACCAATTGCAGAGCGGAATAGAGCAAAACCAAAGCAACCTTGATTATTTTCATCAAATTGTTTCGAAAATTACTTTATCGCTTATGTTCCGAAAAGCTAACGGTATTAACAATTTGTTTTGCGTAGGGCATGTTTTCAAGTTCTTCCGCGGATTCTGTGTTTCAACACAATGCGTTATGCGTTCAACATGGTGACTATGATGAAAGAGAAAGTGAATACACACTTCTCTTTTCCTCTTCAACTCAACATGGCTCCGTACACCGAGGAATTTTTGATGGGAGACAAACAAGATCAAGGTAGAGTGTCCTCTGTTGCCCACGTGACTGTTTTCATGTTTTTGATGAAAAGCCGCTACAACTCAACAAACGTATTAGTTTAACTCAACGGTAGGCATTGTGAAATCATCTTAAATATGATTTCCCTCTCCCCTCGTTAGACCCTCAGCTCGATCTAAGCTACTGGTATCAGTTGATTGGAGTTGTGGTTCACACTGGCACAGCAGAAGGGGGGCACTATTACAGCTTCATATTGGACCGGTCCTCCCCCCAGGGGCGCGATCAGTGGTTCCTGTTCAACGACGCAGAAGTGAAACCATTCGATCCGGCACAGATCGCCGCTGAGTGCTTTGGCGGCGAAATGACGGTAACATTAGTTATATATATATATATATATATATATTTTTTTTTTTGGTAACGCAATTCAAAAACAGTGTATTGTGTACAGTAAATGAGCAGGATGATGAATCTGTTCTTATCTGTGAGGTTCTGGTAAAGAAAAGTGTTCGAGTGTTCTTTTGTAGAAGTATCGATAAACTGTAGACCCATTGTTTGTAGACATACTGTAAATCTAGTTTGTTGGCGTTGCTATCATCATCACACCTTAAAAAATACATATTTTGATTGAAATGAAATATAGCCACTCTAAATTTGGAAAACGTTTCCTCATCAGACAAAGACCTATGATGCAGTGACAGAAAAGTTTATGGATTTTTCATTCGAGAAGACTCACAGTGCCTACATGTTGTTCTACGAACGGTGCGATCCTAACGAGAAGGAGTTACTGGCGGAGACGCCAAACATCGAGCTAAGCCAAGAGCTGGCTGATTGGATCTGGCATGACAACATTCAGTTCTTGCACGATAAACACGTGTTCGACACGACTTACTTCAATTTCATGTGGCTTATATGCAGCAGCATTGCACCTTCCGTTCCAGACTCCAAGGAGCTCGTGCTGTCCAATGTCAAGCTGGGTAATTATGCTTGTGACTTAGAAATAGGAGAGATGAGGAACATTTAACCATTAGGGTCAGTTTTTTTGGCGTTGGCCAATTACTTGATGATGCTGAATCATAACTGCTCAGTGTATTTTACTGAACAGATCAATTCGAACTGATCTACAGCCGTGGCACATTACGTTTCTCAATAAGTCTTCACTACAAAGTCACCGCCAACCAGTCAAAGTTAATGAAATAGGGACTTTAAGAAAACCACGACGGCGATGGCAACAAGAACGTAGCGAAACAAAAGATCTGATCAGTAGAACAAGAGCGAAACACGGGTGTTTTAAGACCTTAAGCATTTTTTTTTTTTTTGCATTTCTTAGCTATCCCCTTCAGGGAAAAAAAAAAGTGAAATCACCAACTTTTTTGTCCTCTTAGCAAGGAAACCTAGACAGCAATTTATTCACTACGTTCATATGTTATGCCGAAGTGAAGATGTCGTACCGTCAGAAAATCTTGAATGAAAATAAAATACGTTTTTCGGCAACGTTTAACAACACGTCGCCGAAGTGACACCTTAGACTCCTTAATATCCCGAGCGAGGAGGTTAGTTAACTTTTTTTTTTTAAACGAGAACTTTTTTAACCAGGAACATCATTCTTGTTGGAAACACTCGTCCACGCCAAAGAAAAACT